TTGTTGTTAAAAGCAAGATTACAAGTGTAGGGCTTTGTTTATATATTTTTATCTTCTAAGAGAGTATAGCTTCTTTTGACTTCAGAATTGGAACAAGAATCTTGTTAGAAGACATAAAGCTGTAAAAGCCATGGTCCTTGCAGTTGTGATCATGAGAATGATCACAGTAACCTTATTGTTTGCAGGCAGTCTCATTACTCTAGGCCAAATTCAAACTGTAAACTGTTTAAATTTGCTGATTTTTATCTAGAGGGAAATACATATTCATCTGAATTGAGGGTTCAGCCCATCATGCTTTTTGCATACAATCTGAGCGTGGGCTTCTAGACTGTTATTCTTGAATTAGAAATTCAAATATGGGTAATTTTAAATTGTTCTAACTTGTGCTTAGTTTTAAAGAAATTAAAGTGCTTTTTGCTTAAGCACTGTATTGTGGTGTGGAGATTGGGAGTGTAATGACAAGATAATAATTTTTTAGGTGACAGTAATGTAAAGGAGAATACTTGCTGTTAAAGGACTTTTTACTTGTCTTTCAGTGTGTTCAGAAAGGGATCAGAAATGGCAGCTTAATTTCTTTATGAAAAATAAGAATTTTTAGTACAGGATTTATTTGTTTTATATCAGTACCCTGTGTGTGGTATGTTCTGTTGTGTAGATACAAAAATAAATTCTGACTGCGCTTTTTGTTGCTGAATAAAAATTTTATTATTAATACAGGAACTGTTTCTGTTTAAGCAGTGTGTATATTTATACAAATTGAATATGGAGAACAGCATGAATTGCCTTTTGCACATTTGCATTCTTTGAATTTTTTCTTAGGAAGCAAAACGTAAATACATAATAGCTTGGTATGCAAAGGGAAGTATACTAGCATAGTGGAAGGAAAGACATTCAGAAACATGCCTTCCTTTTGGAGAAAGCCATTCTTCCCAGTATTGTGCTAGTTAGCCTTCCTTTGAACAAAGCCACTTCCACAGTATCTGTAATTCCTGCATGCAAATTTAAACTTCTCAGAAGATTCTTTAAAAGGCATTTTAAACATTATCTATTATATCATGACACATAATGTCCTCTGTGGTACTGTGGGGAGGTGTGATAGAGTGAGGGATGAGGGAACCAGACCACTTGATTCTTATTCTTCCTTCTGTCCCCTATTGCATTGAAATTGTCGTCCTTTATTTTGCCTGCACACCATTCCCAATTATGAACATCATCATCTCCGCAGGTTCCAACTGTGTTATTACAATTAAATATATTTAGTAGCAACTCTTTAATATCAGTAAAATGAGGTATTTAAAGGGTACTGCCTGAAGTGTTTGGATCTGAAAATTTTTCCCATAATCTCTTGTTATGTGCCAGATCAACTTCAGTTCCTGAGCATGCAGCATTTCCACATCCTCCTGCAGCTCTCCAGCCAAAGTCTGTGTTTTGCCAAAGTATTGCTTCACGTGTCATCCAGAAATTACATAATCCCTCAGCTCCTGCTTTCCTGTTCTAGTCTAGCCTGTATGCAGTGATACTCTGGGACGTAGCACGTGTACATTCCTGTTCTTCTTTCCTCCTAATGGATCCCAATGTCTGTAAGTCCATGGCATGTCATTCAAATGAAAGGCCTGTGTGGCCATCTACATAAACACTGCACATGAGATATAGTTTGCTGTGGATTCTGCAAGTGTTAAAAACCTTTCTTTTCCTTCATATTTAGTCAGTTAAATTTGTGTTAATTGAATTCCTGCCTTGCTTTAGTCCTTGCATCAGCTGGGTCAAGAATTTTGCTTTCTCTGTGATAGAGTTAGCTTATAATGAATTTGAGAAGTAAGTTCTAAATGGTCCTCATAATGGATTGCTAAGACTGTGAGGAGAAGCTGTCAAACTCTTGATTAGCTGTTCTGTCAGAAAAGAATAGCAATGAGTCAAAAGTATGAACGCCTTCCCAGGCAAGAATTTTGTGTTATTCCAAAGAGCTCTTTCTAAAGTCGTTTACCCTTGTAGTAATACCTAAAGCAGCTTTTAAGCAGACAGAATACCCCTCTTAAAATGAAATATGATGCTCCAGGGTGGTTGTAAAAGAAAATGCTGTTTCTGGTTCAAGTCACATGTAATAGATCATGGCGGTTAAAGCTCTTTGTTGGTAGAATGAATCAGTATTGACTGCCTGGTTACTCTTGTGGGTCATTACCTTGTCAGTTAATTGGAAAGCTTGTGAGGGGCTTCACTGTGACAGTGTTTTGTGGTGGAAGAAAACAACCTGGGAATAAATGTAGTTAAAAGCAGTTTGTAGTTGGTAACGATGGCTGGTTCCTACATGGTTTTGATTGCTGTGTGTGCATTGTATGATGCTAATCTCTGCAAGGGGTAAGGGATTCCTCTGGTATCACTCTGAAGGCTTACAAGGATTTGAAACAGAATATTACTGTGGAATGCATACCATAAATAAAACAAATGCACTTGTAAGAGTCTGTGTGAATGCTGTATCTGTAACAGAAAGATGTTTAGATTTGAGTTTCTGGTTAATCCAGCTATCGCTAGCTTGGGTGAAATGAATTACTTACTAATGATATCCTTTATTGATATAGGTCAGATTAATATAAAATTCCATTAAAACGGTAGTTCCACAAAATTTTCTTAAAGCCATAGTTTTGTTGTCATTGTAGTGGCAGCATTTGATTCCTTATTTATTTTTTAGTGACTTGTTAGAGACTCATGAAAAAGAAATCTGGGTATAGGGAGAATGTTTTCCCCCGCTCAGCACCTGGTCCTGAAAGTCTGCATGGCTTTGTGCATCCTTGTTAGCAATGCAGATTTGACAACTCGGTCCTAGTTTGCCATGCTGTTTTGAATGCATTGCTTCAAAAGAGGTTAAAAATTGATCTCTCTTCCTGTTAGCTGTGTGAATTATGCAGAGCAGTGAAATGTATGAACCTGAGGGGGGCTTTCTGTGAGGAAAGGAAACAGATGAGAGGAAGAGTGCATGGAAGATATTTGTTAGAGTTGCCATCTATATACTGTTGTTCTTCTGGCTAAAAGTGCACTTTATATTTTATTATGGCCTGGGTCTTTAGAGTTGAATTTTATGAGGCATTTTCAGTACAATTGGGTCAGTCACCCAGTATTCATTCAATTACACACTGCAGCCTTGCTGCTGCCCCTTGACATCTGTACACAAAGCCCATCTTTTTTTTTTACATAACCTGACCAGCTCAGATGCCAATTGTGGGAGATGCTGAAAGTCACTGGGAGCTCCAAAGCATAAGAAAAGAAGTGGCTAAATAGTTCATTCTGTCTGGCATGCCCAGAGGCAAGCAGGGAGCTGATAATGGCATCATTACACCAGCAATACTTTATGTTTTGCACATATATTGCTGTAGAAAAGGGAGACATTTGAGACTCTGTGAGAAATGTCATTAAACACTTTTACATAGGTAGGCAGCTGCATTTCTGATTGTTTCATTGCACAGGTGCTGGGGTGGTAATGAGGTGACAGGCCTGACTGGGCTGTAGATAGGAAAGATGTGTGCTCCTTGAAGCAGGGTATTAGGGACAGCAATGCAAATAGGTGTCTCATTAATGTGATTAAATGATACTCTGAATTCTGCCTCTGAGGCTATTTCACTCCTGTGTGCATTTTGCCAGGATGGTCCAACCAGCCTTTCTGTAGGTGATCAATAGCTGTTTGCAACTTCAGCTTCACCTGCTTTGGGATTCATGCTCGTGAAAGTGCTGACTCTTGAACTAGGGCTCAGGAAGTGCTGTGCTTGGAAAATCAGGGCAGGTTCTCAAAAGAAAACTGAAATGCATACAGAGGAGGAATGCATAGGCAGCAGGAGCTGTGTGCATGTCAAAACAGGCGCTCAGTCATAGTGTGCTTTCTGAATAACCGTGGCTTTTGTTTCTTCCACCTGTAAAATTAATATAGCGCTGCCTTGTCATGCGGGAGCATCACTGAAATAAATCCAGTGGTGTCTCTGATATGTCTGGATATTTCAATGCCTAACACTAGAGAAAAGCTCAGAATATATCATTAGTTCTTGTTTGGGAAAAAATAGTAATGGTAAGTCATGAAATAAATAGTTTTTATAACACATAAGGCATGAGGAAAAATTGAGAGGCTGCTAATGGAGTGTGCTGACTGTCACATACACAGAACTGAGGTGTTTGATAGAAAAGAAAATAGTGTGTGATAAAGTAATTGAACAATGTAGAAAAAGTGTACACCTCCTAAGTCAGAGAGAGGGGAGTATTAAAGCAAAAATTGCAAAAAATAACCTCTCTCCTAACTCCTGATGTTTGATTTACTTGAATTTTTGAACTTCATGTTAAAAATGTAAATGGTGGATTTATTTAGAAGAGCCAAAAGAACAGGTTTATTTTAGATCTGATAATAGAAAAGTAGGAAACCTCCATGCTTCTAATATATGGGAAAAACCCTTACATTTTGTTCATATAAGCATGGGTAGTGCCTCAATTTCAGCCCACTGTTGCATCAATTTGGTGAAAATATTTGGTAGGTTTTTATGGATCTAAAGAAACTGAGTACTGGGATTTCATGTAAAATTACTGTGAGAACATGTGAATGTAGTTGAACTTTTTCTGGTAGAGGTGAAAACTGGGTTGTAAATTGCCAGTTCTTTGTGTCAGAAATGCCTTTGTGTTAGGTTTTTGGATGATAGTCTAGCAAAACACCAGTCCTGGACATTTCTGGGAACTTCTCACTACACTTTAGGTATTATGATTACACAAATAATCATAATTGTGCTTCAAAGGGTAAGTAAAATCTGTATACTTGTTAATAAAGAACTGTAAAGGTGATGTTGGTTAGTCATTAGGAACCCTGAAATGAAGCATAGTTTTTGTCTTAAAATTGACTCTGTTGTGTTGGTATGAGTCAGCTTGACACTTTATTTCCATATGAAAATGTGTCTTGTGTAGCAGGCCATGTTGAGCAGAGGTTAACTTTTTAATTTTATTTATTTATTTTATTTTATTTTAATTCCTTCTAGCCTTCAAGAGAAAGAACAAATGTATAGCATGTCCATTAAAGAAACTACTGCCAAAGTAAGTACATGTTTTCAGTTCTTCAGAATATTTACAGAAGCAGATCACAGCATGCATATTGCCTTTGTTTTAGGAAGTTGGTTTTGTGGTGCTCCTTCTAAGAAGATTTTGCACATAAATATTTTTAAACACACACTGAAAAGCCCTCCCCAACTTTTTGTTTGAACAGGCCACAGGGATTATAATACTTCAGGAAGCAGATAGAGTAATCTCATCTTTCTCAGCTTTTTTACTAGCAATCCATGCTCTTGCTGAGGTCTCTATTCAGAAACACACTCCTCAGCTTCATGAAACCATGGTCACAGCTGAATGCTTTGGCTGTTAATACAGAATCTCTTACTTTCTTGTCTAACTGGTTTTGTTGGTGTGAAGGGAAGAACATAGAAGAAGTACCTCTTTTCCCCACCATTTCACTAATAATCTAGCTAGCAATCTCATTTTCATACCCTTTAAAAATACAAAGAAAAGTGATATAGCTTATTTAGCACAATTTTTGCTTCTAACTAGAAATGTTAATTCTTTTCCTTTATCTTTCTTATTTCATGGGCTCCTTTCAAGAAATAGAACACTAAAGTTTAATTTCAGAATGGCCCAGTTGCTCCATGAATGCTCTAGGAAAAAAAAAGAACTCTAGACAATTCACATAGATCTATACAAAACAGGAAGTGAAAAATATTTCTGGGTTTTGATTAATAATGAATTTATGCTCTGAAATAAACTTGTTTTTCATGTTTTCTCTAATAGCGGTTACCAAAATCAGTAAAAATTTCATCATCTGTACTTCCTAATTGTCTTGGACAACACTTTGACTGTGCACTGTTGAAAAGATAATTTGAAGACTGCATCTCATAACCATTCGTTCCTTCTCTTCCACTTTATTTTGAGCTCATTTTCTCTATTCTTTGCTTATATCCACATCTTGGGAAAATTAATATAGAAGGTAACAACGATTACCCCTGTATTTTTTAAATGACTATGAATAAAGGGTCAAGAAAATTATTGTAACTGACCTACAACTCATCTACTAAAATGAATGAGACATTAAGTAGCTCAAAGTGATGTTTCAAGTGTTGTTTCAAGCCATTTGCAAGCTAAAGCATAAGGTATGGAATTTACCTTTTTCCCAGAAAAAGTCTCATGAGATTTTATTTTATCACCACAGTAGCTAGACACTTTTTCAATAACACTTGAAGCCATTGGGTTACAGTAGAGAAGTCTGTGAGATAGTTTTTCACAGCTTGGATTTTTTTTTTCTTTAAATTTTCAATAGATAAAATACTATTTTAATTTTATTCCAGTCCTATGTGATTACTTTTATTTGTTATAGAAGATAAATAGGAAGCATGTAGTGAGACTCCTCCAAATAATTTCCTATTTAGTTTATTCATATCATCTCATCCTATTATTTTCATCTCCAAATAAATAGAGCTGGTCTTTTAAACCTTTTTATTGTATGGTGAAAACATTCCTTTGTCAAAGGTCTATCCTTTTCCCCTGTGCCACTGGCATTTCTATGGCCTTTTCTGCCTCGTCTCTCCTGTTTTCAGCTGTGGCTGCAAAAGCTAATTTTTGCCTGCTAATGAAGGGAGTGCTGCCCCTTATTCACCACTTTCCTGCAGAAATTAATATCTGCTTTCACTAATGGCAAGATTGTGATGTGTGGGAGACCAGGTAGACTGTTCCTTCCTTTAGGCAGTGTTAGCAGAATTTGTTTATCTTTTCCAAGGTGCTGTTCTAAAGAAATGTGAAGGTTACTCAAAACTTCTTTTCTCTTGATATGATTGGAGAGTCAATTCCAGTGCTTTACTTGCTGTCCTTGTCCCTGTTTTTGCTGCTTTAGATTAAGATCATAAGCTGGAAAGATGGAAGAGGATGACAATGGGCAAACTTGCCTTTGATATTTTGCTGTTTTTCATCTTGATTCCTCATATCTTTGCTAACCAGCTTCCTACTGGTTTCAGATAAACTGCTTTTTTGAGTAATATTTCACTCTGAATGCAGATTTGTAAGGTATATTCCTAAACAAGAGCCCTTTTTAAATAAAACCAAAAAGCCTGCTTTAAAAAAATCTCAGAAACCACTGAAGAGGATTTAAAAATAAATACAGTAATACTTGTCTGCAAGAACACTTTGCTGAAACTGAAGGAGATTTTTTAGACTTTTAGACATTTAGACTTTGAGCTTGTTGGTCTGTGGGTCACAGCAGAGCTGGTCACTGAGAGCAGTCAGGCTGGTTAGAGAAGGATGGTGTTCACTGGGAGTCCAGGACACTGGCTCTGTGAATGTTCACCATCTTTGTTAGCTAAGAAATAACCTTTCCTTAGTGGCTGAATAAGCTAATGTAATGAATAATGGGATCTGTTATGAAGATACAATAATTATAAAAAATGAAAAGGATTGGAGCTTATAGAGTAGCCCTGATGTAACTCAGAAGCAGTGCCATTAGTTTAGGGGATATTACTTTGTCTTTCCCACTTGCTCATTTAGTTTTGTTGAACTATGCCATATGATAGGTCTGAAGATTAATGTTGTTCATTTATCTACAGAATACATGTGACATTGATACAAGCAGGGGCCCAGCAACCTCCTTATCTCATGTTCCAGAAGAATCATCTCTGAGTTGGAGGGGCTGCCTTTCTGCCTCTGGTCCCTGCATTTTGGTCCATTAATAAAGAGTGCCAGCAAGCTTTGTTCTGACAGTGGGACTTAAAAAGTGGACAGTGCTCACTAGAAACTGATTAACCATCCCACCTTATTTTGCATAATTGCCAAACAGCTGTCTAGTGATAATGACTTTAACTTATTACCAGCATGGGATATATTCATGCAGTTTTCCTGGAGCTGAAAGATTCCCCATCTAATTGCAATTCACTGAGCCATTCAATGCCCCTAAAGAGAGAGTACTGCTTGGAAAGAAGTCATTAAAAACTTTCAGATTTATTTTGGAGATGGGAGACAGAAATGGCCTTTGGGTTTTTTAGGCACGTTTATTCACCTCTGACAGGTTTGGGGTTTTAAAAACATTTTAACTGAATTAGCTGGTAAGTCACTTAGAAGGGGGTGCTGAAACAAACTGAAATATCTGGGAATTAAAAAATTATAGAAGGTGCAGAAGCCATATGTGTTTTTAAATTAATAGGATGACTCTGAAGTCTTTACAAATAACAGTTACTGCCTGGAGGATAGTTCTGTTGACTCAAAAAAAATTAACCCATTTATAGTTAACAAATAATCTCAGCAAAGCAAGAGGGTGTTATTAATTTAAAAGGATTTAAAGCTAGTGTTATGTACAAATTATTATATTATTGTATATTATTATAATTTAATTGTACAAACAGGTAAACCATTAGAACTATAAAGTTTTGCTCTTTAAAAAGTGAAGTGATAACTGTGCCTCTGTTAATAAGCATGGCACTTATTTTTGAGGAAGGAGAAATAAAAGTGAAGGAAGGCAGGGAAACATCTCTCTGGAGATTGCCTTTCACGTGACATCATTTCAGAACTGGCCTGTGCCTGTCTTGACTATTGCTTTAGTTGTGGTTCCAATGCATGCAATGTTTTCTAAAGTGTCAGCTACTATTTTAAGAAAGTGTTTGGCGTCTGCCTCCAAAACAAAGGATTTGCCTTGGTTCAGTGAAAGGTTTTTGTTTGTTCATTTTCCTTTCCTTCCAAAATGATGTAATATGGAGTAAACCCCAATATTTTGAATATGTGGGACTTGTATAAATTTTGCATGGTGCATAAGCTCCTTCTGAGGTGCCAATGTACACTGAAATGTAATTTCAGTGAAATTAGAATTCAGTAAAAGCTGAATTTCCTTTTTATTTTTTTCTCTATTTTTTCCTCTCTCCATGTTTTCAATACCAAACCATATTGATTGTTGAAGGACCTCCACTTAAAAAGATAAAAAAGAGAGCAAGGGAAAGTCAGAAACCTGAACTCTAGTCATTTCTGTCCTGATGTTAAACAAAGTACAGAATCAAGCTGATACAGCCTAATTTGTTGCCTTTTTTCAGTTAAAATGCAGAGCATAGTATATTTTGTATAAAAATCAGTGCACATTGTATGTTATGGAATTTTAATCTCCAAATACTGGTTTAGTTGTGCTCCACTTCAAGCATGATTATTAATACTGAAATTGTGCAGAATTTGTACAATGGCCATTCTTCTGTCTGCAGCCTCATGTATGTGGTAGTGGAACATGTCCTCCCTCATGCAGGTAGCTAATGTTAATGCCATTCCCTGTTTTAATAATAGAATGTGCAGCACAGCCTGGACATTTTGATTCAATGTTGGGTGTTTCTGTAAAGACATCACTTTTTATTAAGCTTTTTTACCTTGCTGCAGGATGTTATGTCATGTCTGTTAACCAAGAACATTTGAATCCCCATTTCAACTGCCTTATACTTTTACATGAATGAATTCTATATCATGGCTGTCTGCTTCAATTTAGGTTTGCACAAGTCAGAAACTCTGCAGTACTTTGAGGAGGAAAGTGAGTGATATTGAGACTCAACTACCAGCTCTACTTGAAGCCAAAATGCTGGCTGTTTCAGGTAAGTTTTAAGTGATGAGAAGGATTAACAGTGTTAAGGAGTGTGTTAGAGTAGTTATTGACCTCTTCATAACAGACTTGTTAGACAAAGTTGTTCATGTGCTTGAGTAGAGCCCTTGAAGTTGTGACCAGCCTGGCAGAACTAAGCTATGGCTGTGCCATGCCTTGTGTAAGGTACTTCAGGTCCCTCTCCACAGTTTGGAACTACTGGCAAAGCTGATGCTGTGAGGTAGACCATTAACATCCAAAACACATGGTATTTTTCCATAGGTGAAATTGATGTATAATCATCAGTAGTTGTTCCTGGACTCCTCAAGTTACATTCTTGGAGCTCTCTAGCTAAATTGTAAATGTATACCTAAGGTATCATAATTACAAGTCTGGCTTTAAATGACACTTCAAAACGGAATACAATAATTGGCAGCTTCTGCTGTTCAGATCATTAAACAACTAATGTTGGCAGCAAAAGAGCATTTTCATCCTTGGAGCACTCATGCATATTATTTACAACCAGTAAACTACTGAAATGTGATTACAGAGTGTGATACATAACAGCCTTACATGCTACTTGCTTGGGATAGCTGCACTGTTCACCAAGGAAAAAAGGCAAATCAGCCCTTTCTTTTAAGTTGGAAGAGGTGGGGTTTCTTATTCAGCAAATGTTTCAGTAGGTGTCTCTCTGCTAAACACCTGCCTCAGAGAGGAAGCTGAGTAGAAGGAAATGTGGACTTGAGTGCAAGGAGTTTTCCAGTGTTACACCAAGTAAAGAAAGGCTAAAAGATTTTTGATACGTGTCAAGATGAGATTTAGCTCTCCGTATGTGATTTACCTTTTCGATTATATATAAGAATCTATATTGCACACATAAATGATTTTAAAATGAAACCTTGGGCAGTCACATGTTTTGTTTGCCAGAAGTGGATAATGTGAGGCTTGAGCAAAGTCTTAAAGGAAATTAAAGCCCAGATCCTGTGTTGGTGCTGAGCATGCTCAATTTCCTTTCTTCTCATAATACCTTTTTAAAATGGAAATCCTCTTTATTTTTCTCTCAGCCTGTAAGAGGTAAATCAGGCAATTGTCCTTCTCTACCCTTAGACTGTTTAAATGTAGGTGACTTTCTTACTTTCAGAAAAGGGGTTTTATGGCTTGGGAACAAAACAGCCCATTAACTGGACATGCAGTAGGAACTACAGACTACATGTAGGAAGCAGTTGGCCAGAAAAGCTGTATCTCAGTCTGACACTTGGAGAGAGTGAATGACAGCTTGAGGATCATTTCCAAAACATTCATAACAGCATTTTATACTTGTTAGCTCTTAAAAGAGGTTGGTTGTTTCAGGAATGAATTCCAAAGTCGATTTAATGCTGCTCTTTCTATAAACTGTTTTTTACAATTCTTTGACTGCCTTTCTATGCTTTTTAAGAAGTATCAGTGCAATTTGTTTGTGCTGATAAAAGCACTGTTTCTTCATTTACTCTTGCTTCAGGGAATTTTAATGACTGTGAATGGTACAATTGTAATTTGTTACTAAGGCAAAATTCTGCATGGCATGGTTAAAAATCAAGGATGAAGGGTAATTTGGTGACAGTGGACACTGTAATTTCTTTACCTCATTGTAAGATACAGATACATTTAGTCAACATGGTGGTACTTGTTTATGTAAAATGCAGAGTTGTATACAGAGGACACAGGGGAGGTACAAGAATAAAAAGAATTTTTTTTTCTCTGAAGACCTGAAAGTAAAAAAAAAATAAAATCTGATAACACCAGAAATAGTCTTAGAGCATGAGGTGAATAAAATCAGAAAAGCCACAATGCAGAGTGAGTTGGAGCTAGCTAGCAGAGAAGCAAATCAGGAAGAAAAGATTTGTTAAATGCAGAAGAAGAAAGAGGAAAGAAGAGATGAAAATAGTGGGGCTTATGTTGTTGTCTTTTGTTGTTTTTTTTAACTTTATAAGGCAAAACCAGTGGATAATGTCCACTGAAGGATAAATTGCTTTAGTTTCTTTGTATTCATGTGTTAGGAGTAAATGAATGACACCTCTTAAGGAAAGCATAGTTAAGAAGCAGGTCTTAACCTTCTAAATACTGGCTAAGATTTAAGCAAGATACTTCATGTTTGTATTCCCTGGTCTCTCAGCCAACAGTGTTAATGAACAGCCTGGGTATACTCAATTGTTAGGAGTTGGAAGAATGTTCAGTTGGGTGATATGCAATTACTTAAGGACAGTCTTGGAACAGCATGAAGTTCAGAAAGAATTATAGTGTGTGCATATGTAAATATGCAGTAATAATATAGTTTAGTGGTCATATTTATGTGTTTTCTTTTAGTTTGGGAACATCAGGCAGGGTTAAATGTCTGTTACTTCTTATGTAGCAGTTAGATAATTCATTCAGACAGTTTCTTCAATGGAATTCTAATGGATACTCAGAACAACTGTTTTTCTCTATACAGTTGTCACATCATTTTTGATTAAAGTAGCATTTTTCTTGAGGAAGCAGTAAGAGTTAAGTGACTTGGAACAGTGTCAAAGCAAAAAGGGACTTTTTGGGACTTTTTCCCAAAAGTTTGATTAGATGAACTAAAGAATAGAGTTATTAAGTTAAAATTAGCTTCCAGAGCTTATATGTGGTGGCTTAATGATGTGATGACTTGGAAAGCATGAGATATACCTCAGCCTTTAATGGCTATTTTGACAGCTTCAGACAACATTCATTTGCTACATGGACTGTACTTTCTAATACAAATATATTGATTTAAAATATTGACGTATTTGCACCAAAAATGTAGAATATAGCTGATATTATTTTTGGAGGAAAATACCATGATAAATGCAATGCAAGCAGAAGTTCTATTAGTCTTATCAATGTAACAACATGGAATTTAAGGTTATATAATAAATGATACTGTAAAGACATAAGAGACAATACTATGCATATAAATGCCTCTCCCTCCTATTATTTAATTCTGGGAAAAAGTATAAAATTAAATTTGCAAGAGAAAAAAGAAAGTTTGTGAATATTTGGATTATTGAAGGCCATAAAATAAATTAAATTAAAATCCAGTGAGCTTTCTTATGGGAAAAAGAAAAGAAGACCATTCTTACATGTTCTATTTCTTTAGCTTTTTCCCTTTCCTTTGTGTGTAGGTGAATGATATTTATTTCAAGAAGTATTTCTATCAACAGTTACAGTTCAGAACCTTTATATCAACACCTCACTTACATCTGATTGGCCGGTTGGGACAAATAACTAATGGTTAATGCTCTGGAGATGCTAGTCCAGAATTTTCCTCCAGAGATAATTAGAAGGATCCTCTATTGTTCCAGTTATTAAGTCAATAGCTTTAGGTAATTATAGCTAACAAGTACTCCTGATGTCATGAAATGTTACTGTTGACATGCACATTTGTAAATTCTCATTGATGAACTATTATAGTTTAGCATCTAGTAGATTTTTCTTTAATTATTAAAAAGACACTTTAATGTCAGTGCCTAGAAACCTGCATGTGATTTTTCCAACAGCTGCTTTTTACAGTGGCTCTTAACATGCTCATAAAATTTTGTAGTCAGTTATAGGAAGAACGTGTCAGTAACTGATACTCTGTTCTTTCTTTCAGTATTGTGTTACTATTTAGCATGAAACTTTGCTAGGGAATAAATTTCAGATTAAATAATTTGAAGCTGGTAAAAAGATTCAAATAAGATGATGTTTAAGCAAGTGTGAACATAACTGTAGAAATACTGTTGAAATTATTTTCATACTTTGATCTGTTTTATACAAGCGGAAATAATAAGAAATGGTGTGTTTCTGTTGTTTCCTTAGTGAGAAAATAATTTGGGAATAGGAAGGAAGATGCAAACTAAAATGAATTTTTAGTCCTGTTTCATCTCTTTCCTATATTTGAATAAAAAAGGTTTATGGAGGTCCATTTTACAATGTTTTCATAGACTCTTTGAGAACTTTTTTTCCTCTTGAGAATGCATATTAGCATGGAACTAGATAGCCAGAAAGTGAATTAATGGGAAGCTAAGGAGTCATGAATGAAATACTGTGTTTATTATCCCTGAGATGCATGTTGTTAACTTTCTGGTTTTGAAAACACAGATTAGATCCAAACGCAGAAGTTAGAGTGAGGTGACTTGAAATTTGAAAAATCTTTAAATTGTTTTATACCAGTGAGAGACCATGTATCATGCTCCTATAAATATCATTACCTCTATTTCATTAAGTACTGGCAAGTGGGAGCTGCTTGGAAATGATGTTGTGGGATGATTTCCAGCAGTACAATAATTATATATAATAATATAATTCCTTATGTCAATGTAAAAACATAGTTTTATAAATAACATGACATAAATACAAGATAGCATATTTCACAAAGCTTAATATTAGGGCTGCTGCCTCTTTGGCTGCTGTTTGATGCTCATTTAGGGCAAATTCTGCATGGATCCAACTGTAACAAAAAGAGCCCCCAGCTTTCCAGATTTGGTGCTAAGTATTCCTGTTGGGAATAAGTATGTTAGAGAGGGGGCAGAGCCATCAGGCTGGAAGATGCCAGTGCAGACAGAAGGACATTTTCAGCCATCCATCTGGTTTATGTTAATGTGGATGCCTCGTTTTCATGCTCCTGCTGTAGTCTGTCATTTCATTCAGAAGTATGGATGGACACATAGCTCTTGGTATGATGTTGAGTTCTTCCCCAGATGTGCTGCGTACAGCTCTTAACTTGTTTTTCTCTGGAAGGTAGTGGTGTTCCTGGTCTCTTCAGCTTTTCTGTTTCTGAGAATTGAGGTAATGGTTGAGGTAGAGACAAAAATAGTAATGCTCCTTTGTGCCTTCTCATGAAGGCTCAGTTTTTTGATGAATTGGAGTCTGATAGAGGGCTGCATCTTGTCAGATGATATAGCTGGTTCCACACTTTCCTATTCTTGATTCCAGTAGCAGCCTGGGTTGATGGAGCAGAGGCATATTCAGATTAATTCTACTTCATGATTGCAG